TTGACCATCAATAACAAATACATAATGAAGACTGTGTATGTGTGATGTAATGTATCAAACGCCTGTGCACTCGACGTTGTGTTCCATGGGCAGACTTGGTATGTTATGCATGAGAAGGGCTCAAGAACCGAGCCAAAAAACATTGCTTTGACAAGCAGTGACTGCAAACAAATTTAAAGGGAGAACCATTCAAATAAAATAAACTGATAAGTTGGTGAAAGCTAGACTGTATTGTAATGTAATAAGGATCAGGGCTCCCCTCTCCTGTCAGCTGTCATTGTGTGTAATATATCATAGCCAGGGGACACACAGACTGTATTATAATGTAATAAGGATCAGGGCTCACCTCTCCTGTCAGCTGTCACTGTGTGTAATACATAGGCGTGCGCACGGGGTGTGCCGGGAGTGCCTGGGCACACCCTAATCCCGCGGCACGCCTATGCATATTGAGACCGGCAGGGGAGATCTCAGGATCTCCCCTGTCGGCTCATGCAGAGCCGGCGCTATCCGAGCGCCGGCTCTGCTCTCAGCCTCCCTCCCCACTGACCCACATGCAGGGAGGGAAGCAGGAGAGGACCCGGCGGAGCTCTTGCCGGCAGCTCCGCCGGGTTCCTCTCGCGAGATATGAGCGTTGCTGCGGCAACGCTCAAATCTCGCGAGAGTGAACTCTAGCCCCACGGGGGGCTAGAGTTCACTCTCCACTGGACCACCAGGGAAAGCAGCAGCACCCCCCTCCCTACAAAAGGTAAGAAGGGAGGGGGGATAGCAAGTAATCTACCCCCACTAGCACCCACCCACACTCAGCACACACAGCACCCAGCACCCTCACACACACACACACACACACACACACACACACACAGCAGACTAACAGTATCCTCACAAACAGGACCCTCACAAGCACGCACACACAAACACACTCACCCACATAGCACACTACCAGCATCGTCACACACACACATCACATTAACAGCACACACACAGCAGTGTATGTGTGTGTATATATATGTGTGTGTGTATATATATGTGTACATACATACATACATACATACATACATACATGCAGCGTGTGCTTTAGGGTGCACACCCTAATGCAATAGGCTGCGCACGCCTATGGTGTAATATATCATAGCGGGGGACACACACAGACTGTATTATAATGTAATAAGGATCAGGGCTCCCCTCTCCTGCCAGCTGTCACTGTGTGTAATATATCATAGCCGGACACACAGACTGTATTATAATGTAATAAGGATCAGGGCTCCCCTCTCCTGCCAGCTGTCACTGTGTGTAATATATCATAGCGGGGACACACACAGACTGTATTATAATGTAATAAGGATCAGGGCTCACCTCTCCTGCCAGCTGTCACTGTGTGTAATATATCATAGCAGGACACACACGACTGTATTATAATGTAATAAGGATCAGGGCTCACCTCTCCCAGCTGTCACTGTGTGTAATATATCATAGCAGGACACACAGAGCTGTATAATGTAATAAGGATCAGGGCTCCCCTCTCTCTATACTGTGTAATATATCGCCAGCGGGGTTTTGGGCATTTATAATGCCGAAAGCCAGGATCGGGCTCCCACCATACTGCCAGCTATACTGTGTGTATTATATCACTTAGCAGGACACACAGACTGTATTTATAATGTACCGTATATACTCGAGTATAAGCAGAGTTTTTCGGCACATTTTTTGTGCTGAAAAACCCCAACTCGGCTTATACTCGAGTCAGTGTCTGTATTATGGCAAATTATTACATTGCCATAATACAGACTGGGGGCTGGCAGAGCTGTTACTTACCTCTCCTGCAGCTCCTGTCAGCTCCCTCCTCCTCCGCGCCGGTCCGGTCAGCACCTCGGTCAGCTCCCAGTGTAAGTCTCGCGAGAGCCGCGGGGTCATAGTGCGGCTCTCGCGAGACTTACAGTGTGAGCTGACAGAAGAGCTGCACAGACCGGCGCGGAGGAGGAGCTGCAGGAGAGGTAAGTAACAGCTCTGCCAGCCCCACTCCTCCCCCCACTGAACTGCCAATGCCACTGGACCACCAGGGAAGGAGAGCCCCCCTCCCTGCCATGTATCAAGCAGGGAGGGGGGACAACAAAATAAATTAATTAATAATATATTAATAATAATAATAAAAAAAATATATAACAAAAAAATTAAAATATTAATTAATAATATATAAATAATAATAAAAAAAATAAAAAAAATAATATAACAAAAAAATTAAAATAATAATTTTTTTTTTTTTTATAAAAATGCCCACCCCCCCCACCAAGGCTCTATCACACACACTGCATCACACACACTGCATCACACACACTGCATCACACACACTGCATCACACACACTGCATCACACACACTGCATCCATCATATACACACACACTGCATCCATCATATACACACACACTGCATCCATCATATACACACACACTGCATTCATTATATACACACACACTGCATTCATTATATACACACACTGTAAATAAATATTCAATTAATATAATTTTTTTTTAGGATCTAATTTTATTTAGAAATTTACCAGTAGCTGCTGCATTTCCCACCCTAGTCTTATACTCGAGTCAATACGTTTTCCCAGTTTTTTGGGGTAACCTCTCCTGCCAGCTGTCACTGTGTGTAATATATCATAGCCGGACACACAGACTGTATTATAATGTAATAAGGATCAGGGCTCCCCTCTCCTGCCAGCTGTCACTGTGTGTAATATATCATAGCGGGGGACACACAGACTGTATTATAATGTAATAAGGATCAGGGCTCCCCTCTCCTGCCAGCTGTCACTGTGTGTAATATATCATAGCGGGGGGGACACACAGACTGTATTATAATGTAATAAGGATCAGGGCTCCCCTCTCCTGCCAGCTGTCACTGTGTGTAATATATCATAGCGGGGGACACACAGACTGTATTATAATGTAATAAGGATCAGGGCTCCCCTCTCCTGCCAGCTGTCACTGTGTGTAATATATCATAGCAGGACACACAGACTGTATTATAATGTAATAAGGATCAGGGCTCCCCTCTCCTGCCAGCTGTCACTGTGTTGTAATATATCATGGCGGGGGACACACACGCGGACTGTATTATAATGTAATAAGGATCAAGGGCTCCCCTCCTGCCAGCTGTCACTGTGTGTAATATATGTGGCGGGGAGGGGACACACAGACTGTATTATAAATATGTAATAGGATCGGGGGCTCCCTCTCCGCAGCTGTCACAGTGTGTAATATATCATAGCGGGGGACACACACAGACTGTATTATAATGTAATAAGGATCAGGGCTCACCTCTCCTGTCAGCTGTCACTGTGTGTAATATATCATAGCAGGACACACACACAGACTGTATTATAATGTAATAAGGATCAGGGCTCCCCTCTCCTGCCAGCTGTCACTGTGTGTAATATATCATAGCGGGGGACACACAGACTGTATTATAATGTAATAAGGATCAGGGCTCCCCTCTCCTGCCAGCTGTCACTGTGTAGCCATATCATAGCTGGACACACACAGACTGTATTAAGGCACAAGGATCAGGGCTCACCTCTCCTGTCAGCTGTCACTGTGTGTAATATATCAGCAGCAGGACATGCACAGAGACTGTATTATTATAATGTAATAAGGATCAGGGCTCCCCTCTCCTGCCAGCTGTCACTGTGTGTAATATATCATAGCGGGGGACACACAGACTGTATTATAATGTAATAAGGATCAGGGCTCCCCTCTCCTGCCAGCTGTCACTGTGTGTAATATATCATAGCAGGACACACAGACTGTATTATAATGTACCGTATATACTCGAGTATAAGCAGAGTTTTTCAGCACATTTTTTGTGCTGAAAAACTCCAACTCGGCTTATACTCGAGTCAGTCTGTATTATGGCAACTTACATTGCCATAATACAGACTGGGGGCTGGCAGAGCTGTTACTTACCGCTCCTGTCAGCTCTCTCCTTCTCCGCGCCGGTCCGGTCAGCACCTCGGTCAGCTCCCAGTGTAAGTCTCGCGAGAGCCGCGGGGTCATGGTGCGGCTCTCGCGAGACTTACAGTGTGAGCTGAGAGAAGAGATGCACGGACCGGCGCGGAGGAGGAGAGAGCTGACAGGAGCTGCAGGAGAGGTAAGTAACAGCTCTGCCAGCCCCCCTCCTCCCCCCACTGAACTGCCAATGCCACTGGACCACCAGGGGAGGAGAGCCCCCCTCCCTGCCATGTATCAAGCAGGGAGGGGGGACAACAAATAAATAGATTAATAATATACAAATATAAATAATAATAATAATAAAAAAAATAATATAACAAAAAAATTAAAATAATATTAATTAATAATATATAAATAATAATAATAAAAAAAAAAATAATAATAATATAACAAAAAAATTAAAATAATATTATTATTATTATTTTTTTTTATAAAAATGCCCACCCCCCCACCAAGGCTCTGCCACACAAACACACACTGCATCACACACACTGCATCACACACACTGCATCACACACACTGCATCACACACACTGCATCACACACACTGCATCACACACACTGCATCCATCATATACACACACACTGCATCCATCATATACACACACACTGCATCCATCATATACACACACACTGCATTCATTATATACACACACACTGCATTCATTATATACACACACTGTAAATAAATATTCAATTAATATAATTTTTTTTTAGGATCTAATTTTATTTAGAAATTTACCAGTAGCTGCTGCATTTCCCACCCTAGTCTTATACTCGAGTCAATACGTTTTCCCAGT